TTTTCTACACGAATTTATTCTGGTATCCTTCATATTTAAGAAAACATAGCTAAGTATTAATAAAGTTATATTCACTCTAGTTTTTTACCACTTTTCGTATACCGGGTGTTGCATCGTCGAGCGGGACATAGGAAATCCCATGTAAATTTTAATGGGGTCAATTATTGACTTCCCTAATTATTTTAGAGAATAATTCTATATAGGTTTATTGAAGAGCACTAAAACCCACATTCAAAAGAATAACTTTAGATATTTTTGATTAGCCCGTTTACGAGTTATCGCCGATTTCTTTTTAAATATTTCTCCTTTCTTATGGCCCTGTATTTACTTATGAGCACCAGTCAAGGTAAAAGATAACTGTCAAATGAAGTTGTCATTTCAGAAATTTATCTATTTAGTGCTTTATTATTATTATTAAAAACTCATACCTACATCGAAAATATTAGCCATAAATTACACTACCGAAGAAAAAGTATTGATGATTAAATGGTATTATCAAGGAAATAGTTATCAAAAGGTGTCGGACATGTTTGCTGCTCTGTATCCGAATAGACCGATACCTGGAAAATCTACAATCGCAAGGAATATTCAGAGATTTGAGACCAAAGGTGCCCTAATAAATAACTGCAGATGTGAAGCAAGGCAGGAACAAAGAGAAGATGCAAGAAATGATTGTATTGCACCGACTTGGAAGTTTTATTGTGCGTGGAAGAGAATGATGGAAAGAACAGCACAAGGAAACTTGAGGATGAAATAGGAATATATCACACTACAGCGATTCGAATTTTGAAACGACATAAATACTATTCCTTCAAATATGAAAAGCACCAAGAGCTACGAGATGGGGACGAAATACGGTGGCAGGCGTTTTGTTTTGATATGATGGAAAGAGCAAACACGGATAGGGAATTTTTAAAAAACATACGTTTCACTGACGAATGCACGTTTACCTTAAATAATGAACCCAATGTTCAAAATTATCGATATTGGAACAAAGAAAACCAACACAGTTTTGTCGAAACAAGGACGCAATATAAAGTAAATGTTTGGGCAGGGATATTCGGACACAATATTGGCCATTATTTCTTACGCGAAATTTAAATGCAGAATATTATTTGGAACTACTCGAAAATCATATTTTACCTGCTTTACATGATGCCGCTAGGGCAAATCAAGAAGTTTGGTACCAAATGGATGGCTGCCCAGCACATAGTACCCTGACTGTTCGGGAATATTTAGACAATAGTTTTAACGGAAACGTTATTGGCCTAAATCATACAGTAAATTGGCCAGCAAGGTCTCCTGATATTTCGCCAAATGATTTCTTTCTCTGGGGCCATTTAAATAACAGGATATACAAGGATAAAAAATACCCATATCTAGACGAGTTAAAAAATGCTATTTCTGCCGAATGCAATAGATTTTCAATTTACCAACTAGCGAATGTAAGAAGAATATTTTATGATCGCCTGGGTTATTGTCTAGTAGTCGATGGAGGAATATTTGAACATCTTCTTAAATCCTAAAGTTCTGACAATTTAATAGTACCAAAATTAATAAGTTATTGAATATTGTAATAATACTATAATTAACCTTGTAATTGATTACTGTATTTTACTTTATTTCATATTAATTTGTATTTATAAATACATCTTTAAGATTTTCGATGTAGGAATGAGTTTTCAATATTAATAAAGCACTAAATAGATAAATTTCTGAAATGACAACTTCATTTGACAGTTATCTTTCACCTTGACTGGTGCTCATAAGTAAATACAGGGCCATAAGAAAGGAGAAATATTTAAAAAGAAATCGGAGTTAACTCGTAAACGGGCTAATCAAAAATATCTAAAGTTATTCTTTTGAATGTGAGTTTTAGTGCTCTTCAATAAACTTAAATAGAATTATTCTCTAAAATAGTTAGGGAAGTCAATAATTGACCCCATTAAAATTTACATGGGATTTCCTATGTCCCGTCCGACGATGCAACACCCGGTATAATGTTTTTAACCAAAGTTTTAGTAAATAAGAAATAGAATGGTAACACCGCAGTGTGCTTTAAATAAAGACAGTATACTATATGCAGAATTTTATGCCGAATCCAATTATATACAGAAAATTAAACTTGTTTTAAATTAAAAAAGTGTTGTAGAAAATCTCTGAAATAGATAATAATATAAAAATATGTCGTTATATATTTTTTCCGCATTTCTTCCCATCAGAAGATTTTTAGATACAGAAGAATTGTTACCTACACTAATATTCTGTTTTCAAGCAGGTTTTTACTCGATGATCAATTTTTTTATTTTATTTTGTGAACTCACATTTTCCTAAATACATATCTGTGGAACTATGGCGAGTGCCACGACTATACCAAACTATACATTGCCTAGTTAATAGACCACGACTATACACCTACGTCAGTGGTCACGGGAGGCGAGAACAAAGTCATATAAACTGGCAGAAAAAGAACAAAAGATTTGACAAGGAGTAAAACTACTAGTTTCCTTATACTATGGTTTTGTTTTACGAGTTTTTGGTTTAAATAAATAGTGTTGTGATACTTTAAGCTTAAAAATGTTTTACTAGCAGACCTTGCAGTCGAACATTGTTCTTTTTAGAACCCCTTTTAGTGCGAAATTATACAAGATTTAATAGCCGTAAAAAACTCATCGCGACTTTATTAAAATATTTTGAACGGGAAAGCGGTAGTAATGGCCCTTTATGTCCCTTGAGTGCTGTTAAGAAGGTGAGTTTTGTTGATGTAAATAATAACTGTTTATATATTTATAATTGATTTATTTTTGTTTTCTAAAATATTTTGATTAAAAGAAAATATATAAAAGTGGGCAACGCTGTGCCGGCTAAGCTTAATCACGTGAATAAAAGTTTATTTGGTATGAACTGTATTAAGGTACATTCAGGCTGAGAGCGTTGAGCGTCGCGTCCGCGTGTCGAAATAGAATCAATTCACTTAACTTAAATTAGACCGTTCAGGCAGACAGCGTCGTACATTGGTTTAGGGTATATGGTTATACGGTATTAATTCAATAACTTCGAAATGACAAATGATATTCGAATCATATCTGGTATACTTAATAAGAGGTTTAAGTACTTTATTTTAGATATATATTTAATTTATACTTTGTTTTCAAATGTCAAATATTGACACAGTCACTTTTTTCTTATAAAACATCCTGTACATATATTTATATTTGAAAATGCAAATTTTATGATTTGAAATGGTGATCATCTGTCAATATATGACATTTAACAGTAGTCTTAAATGGCGAAAAGTAGTCAAAAGTGGCAAAAATTGTTGTGTCGATATAGTAATGCTTGCGTCAAATTATATAGCCAGTATTACTACATAATATTATATGAATATTAAAAAGTTAGCAAGTTTGAGAGTATGATATAGGGTGAACAATCACTACAAATTTAAAATAACAATGAGCAATGATTGCAAATTTACTCTGGCAAACGTTTTTGTTATTTCTACGTCAGGTGGATAGCAAAGTTTTTTTGATGATAAAATACGCTCATACGATGGGAAACTGTCACTTCCTAATTCTATTGCTGATTGCTTAAGAATACCGTAATTATGTTTTGATAACGAGGTATCAACCATCAAGGCCAAAGCTGTCTCTGGATGGTATGAAATAACCTCATTTTGTCCTGTAATTTTCTTGGATGCAGCTATTATTAATTTATATGAAACATTGTCTAAAATGTCCTTGATTTTTGCACGTTAGGTCCGTTCTGAGCAATCTTCAAAGCGTTTTTCAGGTCGACCGACTTGCGCAGAAGAGTATGAGGGTTCTTCATCTGTGAATGTACCGTGCATCTACCACGTGTTCCAGCCACTTACTATATCTGGTATAAAACGTTTTTTTGTGCGATTAGATTCTTGCCACCATTTATTAAAATGTGGTAAAAATATTTGACCTAAATACTTCTTTATAACATCGAGCTGGTCGAGAGTAAGTTGCTCGGTAATTTTATTCTTTCCCCAATTTGTGTTAAATTCCGGCCATTTTCTAAAATTATTTCTACTAACTCGCGGTTTGAACACTCGAAACTCCATTTTGTGACAAACAACAAGAAACTAAAGTGGGGTCCAAAAATGTATTCAAAATACTCAACCTTATTCAACCTTACCACTTATCTTCGATACATAAACAAGAGCGGCAGGTGACGGCAGCTAAATTTAAATGATACTATTTAAGTAAAGTCTAAATAATATTTTTATGCTTGATACGTCACGGAGAATGTTGGAGCAAGCTAGTTATACCTTTCTGAACTTGAAAAAACCCCAACAATATGAATAACCATACTATTTGAAAAATTATAGTAGAAGAAATAGAAAAGGATAGCCTTGACAAAACTTCTGAGCACATTATACTTGAACTAACTCAGGAAAAATACTTAAATTCGATTACCCCCCACTTGAATAATACTAATTGACTCATATTACGAGCGTTTATTTCTAAGTAAAGTGGATAGTATTGTGTGTCCGAGTTTAAAAGTATATGGTAGATAGTGGATTCGTTTTTTGAAGGCAAAAATCTTTCAAACGTATTAGTATAAATATATAAACTTAAAAAATGTAACATATAATTTTTTTTCTGAAACTTCGGAAAATAGGGTTTCTGCCGCTCTCAGACCACTGTGCGTCGCGTTTGGCGTTGCGCTAGCGTCCGCTGAGCGTCGGGGTTCGAGTTCAATGGGGCGGACACAACGCAAACGCGACGCGACGCTCGAGCTCTCAGCCTGAATGTACCTTTATACACACTCACTAAAAACATTGTTATATTAAAAGAATCTGCCTCTTTTTGCAAAATAGCGGGTAACCGAATAGCTTTCAAACTAGCCAGTTAGTTTGTAAACTATAAATTCTTTTGGTTAATGCCAGGTATTTATATTAATGTTTTCACATTAACCAGTTATTTTAGTTAATTTGTATACTAAATTTCATTGTTTGGTTTTGTACGCTTTAGGACGAGTATAAGTGTGAGTCTTGGAGTATACAACACGTCATTTGTGAACACCCAAACATCACAAGTGCAACAGGCTTGGATTCACAGTAACTACAACCAGACTTACTTGAAAAATGACGTGGCCATATTGAGACTGGCCACTCCGGTCAATTTGGGAGGAAATGTTCTGCCCATATGTCTACCCCAAGCTGGGAGAAGTTTTATAGGCTCCCCAAGGTAATTCTAAAATAAAATTGAATTAATTCTAATATTTTTATGCTGCCTTTTGTATAAATGTAGAAAATGTAAAGTCTATCTAAGGAGAGGTGACATGCCAGTCACAGTTGTTTTGGTTTGGTTTGGTGGTTTGGTAAACTCAAAGTTTAATTGATATGAAATATCGTACGTAATCGAGGGCGCGATTTTTAATTTCATTGTTGCCAACCATGGACATATTCGGCGCCGTGCTAACTAACTGGAATTTAAATATCGCGCTGGGGTTTCAGGTGGTATCTCTGCTGTAAGAAATGTCAAGTTGCCTCATTTATTTATTTATATCCTGACATTGTCATTTGTTTTGACACTTTAATTTTGTATTACGATTTTTTGGTTGAAATAAATAGTGTTGTGATATTTTAAGCTTAAAAATGTTTACTAGCAGACTTTAGAGCGAAGTGGTACAAGATAGCTTAATATATAGCTGTAAAAAACTCATCGCAACTATATGCTGTTAAGAAGGTGAATTTTGTTGATGTAAAAAATAACTCTCTCTCTCTTCAGTCCTGACCCCCATTAGGGAGTATAGTGGTCAGCGTAACATAATGGATGATTTTTCTGCATGCGCCTCTGTCTTTTGCAGAGAGAAACTAATAACTAAAGTGAGAGGGCTTGTGGAATAGGACATTTCGTAGACAAGTTTATTTTGTCACCGCGCATACCAGACGCGCATAGCGTTTAGACGGTCAAAAAAGGAAGTTTTCAACTTTGCGAGTTAAACATTTGACAGGATTAATTAGATTGTCAGTAGCTTTTTCTATTTCTTAGCTCTAGAAGGAGATAACTAAAATCTGTTGATAATCGGAGTAATAAATTGTTTTTAACTGAATGTGCCTGTTCTTTTAGCTTGTCAGAAGAGAAGATTATTGTCATTATTGATTATTTCAGATTCCACGATTATTCGGCATTTTTGTAATTTTTGTTTTGTAGACAAAACGTTTCCTTTAAAGGTAAGTTTTATCTCGGTAATTATTTTAACATACCTAATAGTAATAGTGAGTGCACATAATAATCGTACATTGCTAATTTAATTTTTTTAATTTAAAACATCACATTTTTTTCTGATATCTATGGAACGACTAGGTATTATACCTAGTATTATTTCCAGTAATACAAATTATTTTCTTCAACTGCTAGGTTCTTGTTATAGAATAAAGACTATCAAAAGCATTGAATATCTACGGGATACCTACTGATACTCTGTGCGAGCTCCCAACCGTGCTTCCCTGTTCACTCCCAACCAAGTTAGATAAAAAAGATATTGAAGATTGCAGCCTTGAGTTGGAGTATGGCAAAGAGTATGGAGTTAAATAAATTATTATGTTCCTACACAGTATTTTATTTATAGGTTTTAATGCTTTAAAGTCTAATAATAAATTTTCGTTGTCAACAAAATAATCTAAAAAAACTACGAAGATTTCTTATTATAAACTTGAAAGATTAAGATTCGGTTCAAATATACAAATTTTAAAATTTTGGCGCCAGTATATAGGTATGAATGCTATACTATATATGCTATATCGATAATGCGCTCATAGTTCGGGTTAGACGCCAAAGGCCGCGCCACTGACACAGTCTTCAAAAATTAACGTTGATCTGTCTCTCTCACTTTAGTTATTAGTGTTCTCTCTGGTCTTTTGTCAACTCGATGACATCGTGCATCGGCTTGCTACAGCTAGTCGTGATCTGGTCTATCCATCGAGTTGGAGATCGGCCACGTGGTCTACGTCCCTCCACCTTGCCTTGAATTATGAATCTTTCCATATTTTCCGGACTTTTCCTCATTATATGTCCAAAATATTTTAATTGTTTTAGTCGGATTTTACAGGAAACCCTGTTAGTAATATTAAGTTCATTTAAAATGGAAACGTTTATAAGGCGTTCAGTCCATGGGAAATAACTCTTTATATATTTATAATAAAAAAATAACTGTTTATATATTTATAATAAAAAAATAACTGTTTATATATTTATAATAAAAAAATAACTGTTTATATATTTATAATTAATTTATTTTTCTTTCCTAAAATATTTTGATTAAGAGAATATACAGGGTGGTCCGAATTGTATTCCGGAAACTTCGGGAGCATATTCTGCAGATAAAAAGAAGTAAAAAACTTCTTATAAATGTATGTCCTAAAATGCTTAGTTTCGGAGATACAGGGTGTAGAAGTTTCATTTTTATTTCGATTTTTTTCAAATAATTTCTGCAGTAACGTCAGTATTTGGATGAAAATTGGTGTCTGTTAGTTTTTTGACATGAGAAATTTGATTTTGATGTCATTATGACTCCTATTTGTAGAGGGCGCCACCTACATGTGTTTTAACTGTTTTGAAGGGAAATAACATTTTGTCCGTACCTGTATAGAACTGCTGAGTAAAAAAAAGTACATTTTCGCATTTTTTTACGTAAAAAATGTCTCTTGGTAAAAATCGTTACGAGCAACCCTTCTCGAGATATTTAGAATGGGAATAGTCAATACATGTCATTATTGACAAAAAATAAACATGTTAAGTAGATAGTTATTTGACTAAAAAGATAAATTTGGAAAATTTTTATTCTTTTAAATTACTCATAAAATTTTCTTCGAAAAAATGATGATTGATGATGGTTTGGCACAAACACATTTCAAATTTATGATTTCCGTCTATTAACTAATGTTTAATTTATGTCAATGAAGCCAGGTATTGATAATTTCGATTTTAAATATCTAGAGAACTATTACTCATAGCGATTTTTACTAAGAGATCTTTTTTACGTTAAAAAAGTCGTAAATGTATATTTTTTTACTTAGTAGTTTTATACAGGTACGGACAAAAAGTTATTACTCTTCAAACCAGTTAAAAATATGTGGGTGGCGCCCTCTACAAGTAGGAGTTATATTGACATCAAAAACGAATTTCTCATATCAAAAAACTCCCAGACACCAAATTTCATCCAAATATTGATGTTACTTCAGAAATTATTTGGAAAAAATTGAAATAAAAATGAAACTTCTACACCCTGTATCTCCGAAGCTAAGCATTTTAGGACATATATTTATAAGAACTTTTTTACTTATTTTTATCTGCAAAATATGCTGCTGAAGTTTCCGGAATACAGTTCGGACCACCCTGTATATATAAGTGAAGTAATAAATTTTCTTTTTCCTAATAGTTTTGAAGAAAATAAAAATAAATATTTAGGATGCTATAATATAAAAATAAAGACGTCTTTATATGCAAGACCTTAAGAGTCTTTAAGTATCTCATAAAATTTACTACCGTAGAAACCTTTAGGTTTATACCACAATAAAACGATAGGTTTAGATTTATTTTAAATATATGGGCATCTCTAATCGGGAAGTGTGTGTACAATAAATAATGCCCCCCTGCATTTTTGTGTGAGATTCATTCCTACACGAGTCTGTGAAACAAACAGTAAAAAATCTATTTTTTTTCTTAAATGCCACTGTATTTTGATTCAACGGTACGGCTCACAGTAAAAGCGGATTTTTTTAAGAGAATTCTCGAAAGAAGTACCTACCTACAAAAGAATCTAGTACCATAAACACACGTTTAAAAGATAAACTAACCGTATACATTGATTTGTTTGATCCGACACTTTGCAATCAAAATGTAAACAAATCGTTTATTTATCTACAGTTTGACTTGACCATTATTATGTTTGACTTGACAGATTTAATACAATCCTTAGACTGACTAATGAATCCAAGGACATATAACACCCGAGACCAAATTGTTACCATGGCTCCAAACAGTGCCGTGGCCATATATTTTTCTTCACTTAGCTGCTTGAAGGGATATTTATATTTTTGATAAATGTTTTAACTACGCCTATGATGTAGGCGATGGTATCATACTAATTAATTACGAAAAAAAACCTATTAAAATGTTAACAAAAGGTACAAAACTAGTATCGACGATTAGCACATATCAAGTACGTATAGTATCAGAAAAGTACTTACCATATTCAATAAGAAAACGCTAAAAAGGTGGAGTGGACTGTTTATTTACTTATGAAAAGCAACTCCTGGCTCTTTCTTATCAATGCGGCTTTTACACTTGAAAGCTGAACACATCACCATTGTAATAAAGTTTAAACAAAGTTTATTACACACAACAAATTATTAAAAATCGCTAAAATTGTCGCTGTTGATGAGGTGGTGACTCATCTGTAGGCTCCAATATGATGGCGTCTAAAGGACGGTCCACACTTGCTATATAACACTGCTATATAGCAAAGTTATATAACATGTTACATATTTTTTAGTTATATTTAGCAAATTTCGATGCTATATAACTTGCTAGATGTTATCCATTTGTAGTCGGTAAAGATCAAAAGATGTTGTGCAACATTGCTATTGTAACATGAAACAATGCGTCCACACTTGCTAAATTTCTAGTTTAGCCGCTCATATTTTCAGGGACGTGCGCGACAGAATCTTAGTGTGGTGAGCTGATATTGGTTTGTTTAGGTTAACTGTTCTTGGGTTTGTTTATTTACTGGTCAATAATACCGTATGATCGAAATAAAAACTGCGTCCCGTCGGCCTCCCGTCCAGTTGGCTTGGACATGACGATCGATGACATTCCCCATATAATTTTCCATATAAAATGACAGCGATTTTTATTTCATAGTATGTATTTGGAAACAGAAAAAGTTGAGAAAAAATGCGTAATCTAATAGGCCAGTTCCAGCGGGAACAAAAGAAATGCAAATCAGGAACTGCATGGTTTAGATGAAGTGGATAATTCAAAATGGTTTGCTTTTGCTTTTACAGTACCTCTGTCCGTTCTGTAGCTACGGGGTATCCGTGAGAGGGGAAACGATATTCTCTCGATGTTTTTCGTAAAAAATAGACGACGCGTCCCATCAATAAAAATTCGACAAATTTGCAAGTAGCCAATAAAATGAGTGGGCGGAGCGATTTGCGGTGACGCACTCGTCAAATCGACGTATAGAATATATTGCTGTTTATTTAAATGTTTTTTGTCCGCATTCCTTTCATAGACACAGATCCAGGAGACTAGACGTACTGTAAATTATTAATGTTTTTAAAAGACAGACGACACCACGAGAAACAGCCGAGGCAAGTATTGAAAAGATAAGCCAATTGAGTTCAATTGTATCTAGATCTTGCTGGTAGGCTATGGCGGACTCAAAACCGATTTTTTTCTCGACTTTCTTTCCCTTAGTTCAAAAAATAATTAAAGCAACTCCTGGCTCTTTCTTATCAATGCGGCTTTTACACTTGAAAGCTGAACACATCACCATTGTAATAAAGTTTAAACAAAGTTCATTACACAAAACAAATTATTAAAAATCGCTAAAATTGTCGCTGTTGACGAGGTGGTGACTCATCCGTAGGCTCCAATATGATGGCGTCTAACGTAACAAATTCTGCTGCAGCCCGTATATGGGCATTACATGTCCTTAGTGTGCAAGGCATTGGCGTAGTTTCAGGTTCATATAGAAAGAAAATGTGTAAATAAATAGGTATATTTTTTATGCTAAAAGGAAAAGGAGAATATCTTTATAATATATTGGAATAGGTACTATAATCAGTCGTTAATACACTTTTTTTAATAAATAAATGACGACCTGGCATTTTATTGTTTACATCTGGTTTGTATATCTTGCACACCTTCCTTTTGTAAAGTATATATTGTCTATTTTTATTATTTTTGTTGCGTTTATTATTGGGATTACATATGTAAGCTTGAATATATTTTTATTTTTCTAGTTCCTCTTGTATAGTGTCTGGTTGGGGTCAGACAAGTTTTCAAACAAATGATGCTCCAACCCAAACTCTGAAACAAGTCCATGTGCCTATTGTTACCAATCAGCAATGCACGACGTCCTACAACAACGTTTTAGGATCAGTCAATACGGCAGCTTATTTGGACTTTCCCAATGAGATCTGTGCTGGGGGACAAGCCCAACAGGATGCTTGCACGGTAATACACTCACTATTAATAAATACACTAATTTAACTATGAGATAATTAGAGTAAACTTAAAAAACAGTAAATACAACTCAGCAGCAGTTACAATTCCTTTTTTATTCCAATACTCTCCAATACTGATTTATTTCGCTGCATCATTATGTTTGCGTTATCTGCTGACGACGTGGCCGGTTGGCTGTCAGCAATGCAGTTCCACGGATAGGGGTCGATATTAAGTAGTATCTGCATCCATCAGTACCGGCACCATAGATGCATATCCTACCAGGGGCGGCTTAACCATAAGGTCAAATGGTCAATGCCCCCCCCCCCCAAAAAAAAATCAGAAGAAAATTAGGAAAAACCTATTTATATTATACCGTATGATCGAATAAAAACGGCGTCAACGATGGCTATGAAATGAAGATCGCTCTCGTCATTTTATATGTAAAATTATATGGGAAATGTCATCGATCGTCATTTCCAAGCCAACTGGACGCCGTTTTTTTTCGATCATACGGTACTTTTTGTAACATAAAAAAATATAAGATAAAGATATTTTAAACTATTCCCAAAAACCATCAATTTTTGCAATTTTCGCTTCAAAACGTTTTATTTTACCCATTTTCTCTATTGCCGGTCAAAATTTCACTTTGTTCTTCGTTCCCGCTATGTTTTGCACGTATTAAAGTCCAAATGCCGCGGCTAGTAACGCCAACAAGGTAAGGTATACTACGTATAGAAAATATAACGGGTTAAGGTGCGATAGATTTAGTTTATATTGGCCATTGACCGCGTCATTCATAAAAGGATTTCAGTCGTTGGAAAAATTTCGCCGTTTGGGCAGTTTGGGTGTTTATAACAACTCAAATTATAAAACAACCTCGGTTTTTGTATCGTTTATCGACTATAATGTTTGGTTTAGTCAATATAAAGCAATATTTAAATTTTTAATATCGAAAGAAATCTCATCTAGTTTGAGGTGTAGCGCGAAATTAGTGTAGGTAATAATTCATAATTTTCTGGTTATGGATAAATGATGAACTGTGGTTGACTGATTCTGGAATAGATATTTTAAAATAGACAACATGGTGTTTAGTTTGTGAAATAGTGCGGTTAAAAGAAAACAATTGCTTAAATTTCGAAAAACGTGTAGAGAAAGAACGCCGCATTGACTTAAAATATAAAAAAATGTGAAATAAAACTTTTGGATTTGTGTATGTGTATATATGCATTTATATTTTTGTGTGTTACATTATTATTTATGTGTATTTTAAATCCTACCGTGGAAAATTTGTGTAAAGAACATTGTCTCGATTTTTAGTGAAATTGCAAATGTAAGGGAGGTTTCATTTTAACAGAATTTATATTTATTTTTAGATTTATTTTCCTTTAACTAAAAAAAAGTACCTTGTAAGAAACCAATTAAATTTGGGCGCATCCAAAAACTAGTTGAGCGCGTCCAGATTATAGTCCTAAAAAAATCGGCGCCATATTTTTAGATATTGACCTCCCTACAATAATAACCACGAGCCGCCACTGTATCCTACCGATGCCACAGATTATATCCATGCGGACCTACCCATCTCTACTGTGTAGTGATCTAGTGCCAAATCTGCAAATTTTTCCCCAATTTATTTGTTTTAGTTTTCTATTAATCGGCTTTGTTCATAAAGCTACTTTTTGTTAATATAATAAGATATTTGATACGCTTCATGATAATGATGTTTATTTCACAGCAAGATGGTGGTTCGCCTTTAGTTTGTGCTGACAGTGGTACTCAGTACACCCTAGCTGGATTGGTCCTTTGGGGTAAGAACTGCGGTCAAGCTGGTGTATATGGTGTTTACCTCAATGTACCGCAGTACGCAAATTGGATTCAGTGTGTCGTTCAGTGTATACAGAATACACAAAATTGTAACAGCTGTCCGGCATACAGATTCCTGTAGAAAATTTGTGGAAGAAATATATTTATTTTATTTATTTTGTATCGTTTATTATGGTAGGTTAAAATTATTATCTGTAATATTTTTATTTAAATAAATTATTCTTTAGAAATATTTGATTTTTGATTTACCATATGATCAAAATTAAAGATTAAAAAAGAATAGAATGTTTACATCAGGCACACAAATCTATTTCCAAAAACATATTTTTTTTTAAACGTCACAAAACACAAACTAAGATATGTGTCTAATTCAACGAGTGTAACCATAGTTTCTCGATATAACGGGTGCGTCTCAAAAGAGGCTCACCCCTATAACTTTTTTATTTTGTCAGACAAAAAATCGTGATTTGGTATGTTGGTATATGACATAAATTAAGATTGATTGACGTATTCAATTATTTTCGGTTACTTCCTGTTTCACCGGAAATGACTACAACTTTTGATTTTTAAACAGCACCCCTAGTATATTTTTACTTTATTCGATAGAAAATGATATTCTGAATAAAATGACATATCATATGTCAACTTTTGACATTTTCGCTTAGAAAAAAATAGTATTTTAAATTTCAATCTAGAGCGCCATGGATGTGTTAAAAACACTAATTTTTAATCAAGGAGCCTTGGAAAACTAGATTTGATTGTCTAATGTCTTTGGTGTCTTGTCCCGGCGGGTTAAAGGATTTTTTTACGAATAATTTGATACCACACACTTGGTATTTCGAGTCAAATTGTCATTATGAACCTCATGTTACAATTTCAAATAAACCATATGCGAAAATGTCAAAAGTTGACATATGTTATGTCATTCTATTCAGAGTGTCATTTTCCATCGAATAAAGTAAAAAAATACCAAGGGTGCTATTTAAAAATCAAAAGTTGTAGTCATTTCTGGTGAAACCGGAAGTGGCCGAAAACAATTGAATATGCCAATCAATCCTAATTTATGTCATATACTAACATACCAAATCTCGTTGTTTTATCTGAAATAATAAAAAAGTTATAGGGGTGAGCCACTTTTGAAACGCACCCGGTATAATTACATACAATATATGACTTTTAAATCTTTTTATATTATTTGGAACGTTTGAAATTGTATAAAAACTTATTTGTGGCGTTTGAAAAAATAGCATGTTCTATTCGGAGTAAAAATGACATTTTGTGCCTCGGCTGTATGGCGTCAAACGTACAGCCTCGCCAGAAGACAAGAGTATCATTTTTACTCCTAATAAAATAATATACTATTTTTCTTGTATTTTAAAATACGCCATTTAAAATCATTTTTACTCAAATATAAATAAATTACAACCTTCTTAAAACCAACTGGTAGTAAGTTCCATTAAAAAATAAAGAAAAGTTCAAGCCAAGGGCTTGACCCCCCAAAATTATCATCGATTGTCATCATCGGCCGTTTATGACGCCGTTTCTTTCGATCGTATGGTATAGTCTGAATAACAAGAAAGGACCCCGATGAGTATACCTTATATGGCTGTTATAAACTGCTATAAATATTAGCATATCGTTAAGGAACACTGTATAATCTATTGTATTGCTACTTGTTTTCTTTTTTGACAGAATAAATAAAAATAGCACTGTAAAATAAAATTTTTGATATGGCCGAAGAACCTAAAGGATTGAAAGATAGGAAAGGTGAAAAAAGAAAAGAAATATATAGACCCTTTTAAAGACAATAAAATTTCCAATATAAAAAGCGCTGTCGCCTCTTGTTTCGGGAGATAAAGATCTCTCCGAATATATAAGAAATATCGGAGCCTGGAGAATAGGAAGACGTATGGAAAAAAGTCCCTTTCCATGTGGAAAGGGAATTTTTATTGGGACAAAACAAGGGCGAATTAAAATTTAAATAGAGTAGGTGTAAGATAAGTCAAAATAGGGGGATGTCGCTTTGATATACGGATAGAGAATTTTGTTTATTTATGAGCTTTTTTTTTGGGTATTTTCAATAGAAAAAAATGAAATATAAACTGTCACCAGTTTTTTTAAATACGTTTTAATATTTAAAATAAGTATTTACCACTAGTGGGTCTTTTTGTCAATAAGGTTTTTAATTAAAAAAAAGATATACATAATAAAATAAATTACCTATAGGGAAATTGGAACAATTTCCGTTGCACGTCATCAATGACACAATGCGTCGTCTTATGGAGTTTGCTGGTGGTCGTATTATGATGTGCAACGGAAGTTATTTTAATTTCCCTATACATGTGTTACGCCTACGTGAACTGTTTTGAAGAGTAATAACTTTTCGTCAGCATCTGTATAAAACTACTGAGTGAAAAAATACACATTTCCGTGACTTTCTACGTAAAAAATGTCTCTTGGTAAAAATCGCTACGAGCAACCGTTCTCAAGATATTTAGAATAGAAATAGTCAATGCATGTCATTATTGACAAAAAATAAAGATAGTTATTTGACTGAAATAATAAATTTGGAAATTTTTTATTTTTTTAAGTAAATCATAATTTTTAGAGATGAGCAAAACTGCGATTTTCCAATCGCAGTTGAAACTGCGATTGTGATTTATAAATCGCTGCGACTGTAACCTGCGATTGCGATTTTGATATTTTTAAATTGGTACGCTGTAATCTGGGAAGCTCAATCCCAAAATTTCTAATAAAAAACAGAATAAATAGCGGAATAATTTTTTTTAATAAGAAACTGTTGGGTGTTTCGATGCTATGTGCCTTTTAAAATTTGTAGTGCGTTTTTTTTATGATATTTTTGCTGCACACATATTGCACTTAAAATTTTCATCAATTACTTACCAAAAAAAAATCCACAAATAACTTAGTTTCTTTTTTTTAAACATTTTTGATTAGAACAGACCGAATAAATTTAAAAGGGAAATTAAAAATACATAAAATGTTCAAAATATTCGAATGTGCTTTTAGACGGTAGGTATACTAACGAAAAATTTATGATAAAAAAGGTTGCCGCCAACCTTAGTTCAGATAACTAGAAAAAAAACTGTTTATTTTATCTTGTTTTCTTTTAAAAACATTTTCTTTATATGTAACTCAAAAGAAGCCAACGCCGACGGCTTTGATACGGCCCGTCCAGTGCAAGTGCAAACTTTCGAACTTTTAGATAAATAAAAGGACAATATCACATTTTATTATATTTACAATTTCTCTAAAATGAAAAAACTGATTGTAAAGGATGTATTTAAATTAACATAGCAGCCGATCCACAACTGTTAGTATATTCAGAAAATTATATTATATTATGGATTGTTATAAAAATGTTTATAATAATATAATATATAACAAAATATAATAAATAAAAGAGCTGTTTCTTTTCCGTGTTCTATATCTTCTAGTCAATAAAGGATAAAAATAGATAATTTTTTATAATTTGAATCCAAAACTGTCCTTATGAATCATTTTACCTGAATCATTACCTGGGAGCAACTGTAACTATAATTAGTCATAACCGAAAACAAGAATTTTTTAACCTTCTCAATCCATAATTATATTATAAATCTGAAACTATTATCAAAATTTAAAACTAATAGATTATATATATTATGCGGTATATAAACATATATAAGCCTATTTTCCAACGCTTCATAAAAATTACGGGGCCCTGATTGCGAATGTGATTTTGCGATCTAGTCTAGGCCGATGTGTTGGGAGTTGCGAACGAAAATCGCAATCGCCGCTCTTCGTTGGCGTGCCCACTCCCGATGACGCGCCGGTGCCAACGAAAATCGCAATCGCAATGCTGGGATGAGCTGCGATTTTCGTTCAGCTCCTCGTTCGCCTGTCCACTGCCGTGTTGAAGACGCGCCGCCGCCGGCCGGGGCGTACGAGAATCGCAATATTGCGATTTTCGTTCGCAGCTCATCGTTCGGCTTCTCAGTGCCGTGTCGATGCAACGCCGGTGCGAACGAAAATCTCAATGCTGTGATTTTCGTTCGCGTGCCCACTGCGATTGCAAATCGCAACTGGTGTAATATTGGTTGCCTAAAAATCCAAAATCGGCAGATATATGTTTCAATCGCAAGTCGAAGTTTGCTATGGAAAGGAATCACCGGTTGCGATTGCGAATTTACAATCGCTGCGATTAAATCGCAGTTTGCGATTTTCTGCTCATCTCTAACAATTAGACAACATGTTTAATTTATGTCAATGATGACAGGTATTGATCATTTTGATTCCAAATATCTCGAAAACCATTACTCGTAGCGATTTTTACCACGAGACCTTTTTTACGTATAAAACGTAAACTTTATTAGAATATTTTGAACAGGAAAGCGGTAGTAATGGCCTTTTTACTCTATTAGTCAGTCCGGCGCCGAATAGTCCCTTGTTGGCAACAATGAATTTAATAGTCGCGCCATCGATGACGTAGCTAAAAGTTTATTTGGTATCGCTTATAGCTCGACGTAACTGATATCCCTTGAGCCTACATCAAATTGATTTTTCTGAAATTACGTTTTACATGCTTCCCAAATCGATAAACCCAAGTCGGCCTAAATTGAAGTCTTGATTATATAAAAGAATTTTTAAAAAAAGTTCAGTACACCAGTACGCGACTATAAACAATATTTTCAAAATATAATAACAGCAGAGTTAATAAAGATTGTCGCAGCCCCATTTTGATCAGAAACCGGTTCGACTTCTTTGAAAATAACGTCCCAAATAGCCAATGGCGACGTCTGGTTGTTTACCCACGAGAAAAATCGAAAACTGCTTCCGCCAAAATAAAAATCCAATTTAACTTTTATGAAATGACCGTGACCTTTATGTTTCCATCGACTTCCGGCATTTTCGATGCTATTTTTTCGTCAGAAATACTATAACAGCCAATAAATTATATATACAGAGTGACAATCTAAAAACTAGCTATCGAAAGTTTCTCCGAAAAAAAAATAACGAGATTTTAGGTTATTTTTTTTAAGTTTTAGAGTTTCAATGATAATGACAATATTATCAATATAATATCAATATTAGAACTTTTTTAAGATATTTCTGTATATTTTCTAAAATGAAAACAAAAATTGCAGCAAACAACAAGATTTATATATT